TTCTGCTCCGTCTGGTTTCCTGGATGCTGCTTCAATCTGTCTGACCTCATGTTCAGTGTTGACCTCTGCAGTCTCTCCCTCTGTGATGTACAGCTCTGTGTAGAAGTCATTCAGAACAGTTGGCTGTCCTGGTTTAGCGATTCCCTCAAACACACGCTGGAACTTCTCCTTCAGGCCACGTTTAAATTTACGTTGAGGTTCAGGTGAGTCTTGTTCCTCCAGCTTCTTCCTAAAAAACACAGGACAGCTGCTAGACTGTACTCAGGTGACAATGGCACATGTACAGACGATAAGTTGGACAAAACATTTGTAAGATTTCATAAAACATTGTAAAACCTGTTTTGAGTGTCAGTCAGTGCTTGTCCTTCTGTGAAAAAGGTCTATCATGTTGTCAGTTTGTGTTCCAGCTCTTTCTTTCACCTGCTGGTTCTTGTCCCACCTCAAACCCAGTTTACATGTTTTTGTTGCCTCCTCTGGGGTAGTTTTTCTTGCTGACTGCCACCTGTCACACTACCTGTTTCTGCCTTTTCACCTCTGTTCTTCCTACCAGAACTGTTACAGTGTAGAGCTGCTACCATTAAGACAATCAGAGCATCCAGATGTGGACCAAGCAGAGCTACAAGATCCAGCAAACAGGTAACTCTGTGAGATTCTGAGGGTTTATTCATGAAGACATTTGAAGTGAGTCATTTACATATCACACATGTACATATGGATTACCTCTTTGGAGCAGGAGGTTGATCACCTTTAACGCCGTCTGCAGGTTCAGCTCCACGTTTGAGTCTCTCATGGATCCTGATAGACAAACATTAAATCTCACATGTTCAATAAAAGTCTCCGTACATGAATTCATTTGATAGACAGTTTAATAGTCATGTTACCTGGGGATAGATCAATAATCAGTTTGGCCTGTTATCACATCTGACATTCAGCATTTTACCAGTTATTGATATTGGTGATATTTCTGATGGAATGAATTCATTCAAAAAGGCCTGTCTCTATCTGTAGTCACTCTGTGACCTCTAGTTATTCTACATTTTGACCCCAATATAGACTGGTGACCTGTCCAGGGTGTCCCCTGCCGTGGCCCTAAGTCGACAGGGATAGGCTCCAGCCTCCCGCGACCCCAGTGAGGATTAAGCGGTGTGTAGATAATGGATGGATGGATGCATGTTGGTTTCAAGTATTAGTTATTGATTTCCTTGATCACTAAAACTTAGTCTTGACCCTGAACAAAAAAACACATCAGGCAGCTCCTGATGTTAACTTACTGTTCGTCTGATGAAGGCTCTTGTTTAAAATCCTCAGCAATTCCCATTGACAGGTTGCTCTTTAAGGACACACAGCTGGGTGCAGGTCCAGTTCCAGTTCCAGTTCCAGGTCCAGGTTCAGGTTCAGGTTCAGATTCAGGTTCAGGTTCAGGTCTTCCTCCTCGTCCTCGTCCTCGTCCATGTCCTCGTCCTCGTCCACGCCCTCGTCCTCTACTGTGAATAATAACAGAGCAGTGATGAGGGTGGAGCTCTGACATGCAGAGGAGTTGTGGACAGTTAAAGACCTCTGAGCTCTGCTCTGGTTCTCCTGATCTCCACTCAGAGATCTGTCAGAGTCCTCACACTGATCCATGCTGCTCAGCTCACACCAGGTCACACACACTTTCTATCTTCACCTGCAGAGGAAACACACATCACTCAGGTGTCATGGAGCTGAAGTGAAGAGCAGCACAGCACACACGATGCACCAACCACCATCTACATCTCAGTCACTTTAGTTTACACTCATGTCTCATCAACTTCCCACCACTGAACAGAAGCTCCAGTTATGCACAAATGATGGTTACAGCGACAATCATAAAAACCATTTCATTGTTCTGTACTGTGTGGTCGTCTGTCTCTCTGTGCTGTGATGGACTGAATAAGATGGACCTTGTGTTCACCTTCAGTCAGCTGGACAGGCTCCAGCCCACCATGAGCCTTTACAGGATAAATCAAGGTGCAGATAATGGACTGACTTCCTTGTTCTACAGCTGTTTACATGTTGATCTGACCCTCGAACAGAGAGTGAAGCTTTGTACCTGTTGAATTTACATTAAGTCTATTTATCAGTATGAGATGTTTTTATATTTGTTATTTACTTGATTCAAAAATAAAACAGTTTTCCACGCTGCAAGAACATCAGACTGAATGTGAGATCCCTGAATTTGTCGTCCACATCACCATGAAAGCAGTTTTATTCTCTGAAACCACCCTGTTCTCCACTGAGAACCCTGCCAGCAGCCTGAGAGCTCAGGAAGAACCAAGGCAGCTGAACCTTTACTGTAAAACACTGACTTCACTCAATCACTTCAAACATCAGTCAGAACACTTCAACAGAAACGTTCACAAGCACCAACACCAGCTCATAAATCAAAGTCCAAACTAACCGCCTGCTGGAGCTCGTATCACGATGCAGTTTAATAATTACTCTGGTTTATTGTGACTCAATCCAAAGTTCAGATTAAACTGTGAAGCAAAACAACAAACAAGTTATGTGAGGTGCTGAGTGTGATACCTTTTCATGTTGGTGAAAACCTGCAGCCACCCGAGGACAGAGAAAGTTCAGCCGTCAGTCTTCAGTCTGTGTAAAACACAGAGTTAAGTTTCATTTGCAGATTTGATTCTGGTTCTGAGTGAACCGATAGACTGATCAGGAGGTTCTGGACGTCGACAGCAGCAGACAAACAGCAGCTTGTTTGTGACAAAGACAAATCAAAAGTCCACTTACGAACTTCTTCCACGAAAAGTCGTTCAGAAACAGCTTTCTGCTGCTCTCCTGAGCTCGGATGAGGGTCCTTCTTTACTTCTGTGTCTTCAGGCACTGAAACGCCTCAAACCACAAACCAGTCTGGATCTGCACAGCTCAAAGATCAGCTTTTTATGACTCTGATATCAAACACGGAAAGAGCTGCACCTTAATGACGTCGTCACCCAACACAGTCTTGTTTCAGTGAGTCTCAACGGTAACGTCACAGAATCAGTCATGTTGCTGATTGGCAGCAGCTCCATCAGCGTACCGATGGAGGTAGAACATCTAACCAACTGTGTGAGTCGACAGGTTTTCTGCTGAGATCACAGAATAAGTCCAACAAACTGCTTTGCATTCTAACAACACTTGCTCTGATTGGTCCTTCCCAGAAACCATCAACACATCATGATGACTGCTTGAATCTTTAGACCAAGACAGACAGGAGATATGCATCAGATGTGCTCATGTACCTAGCACTGATACAATCCCCCTACAAAGGAATGGCAGCAGCTGCAGTAAATGGCAGCCAAACAAAGGAAAAGTTCTGACATCCAGAGAGCGGGAGATGTTAGGAGGGAGGTTTTCCTTTTCAGGGTGTGGATGCTGCGGATTGGATGAATCGTGTGCCAAGAGATATGGACATACCAATAAAGAAGGGAGAGCGACGTTTGAACCACGGCTCCTCCCCAATCACATTTCACAATTTGAATTCAATCTGTGTGTTCAGTAGCCAATCACCTCGCACCACACTGGATTGTTAATGTTTACATGAAGCTCCATCCATTGCTGGGGAAGTCGGTTACAGATGAACCAGTGTTGGATCCTTGGCCAAGTAGAATATCACACTGCAGAATAAATTACACTCAATGAGAGGAGTTGTTTGTCTACTGTCTCAAAAAACAGACACGCCTCTATCAGGAGGAAGACATCGAGGATTCTCGGTGGTTCTGTCTAACCTGATCAGAAACGCTGCCTGGGCTCAGGCACACCAGGACTGATAAACTATTACCCAAAATCCATTTTAATCTCACTAAACCCTGGAAGCAGCTAAATCCTTGTCGTGCTCTCGTGGCACTTCAGGCCTCCATGACCACGTTTTACTTCACTGAATAAAGAGCAAAGAAAACAATGCTGGGCACTTTAATTTGTATATTCTATCAGCTGGGTGGGGTTTTAATATTTCTGGAGGAGGGCGATTCTCATTCTAAAATCCTGACCCACTGAAGGACCCCTTTGATCTTAGACCTGTTTCTAATGCACCGACCTGCGAAGCTTTGCAGGCTGCTGATGATCTGACAAGTTGGATCTGCATCTTGTGAAGCTTACAGCTGATTTTAATGCTGACTATTACATCTATTGCTTCATTTATTCCTAAATCCATCCTCTAAATGTGGAAAGCAGCTTCTGTTATCTCCTTACTGTGGGGTAGGGAGCCCTCAGATTTCAATTTTTTAAATTCTAAATCGAGACAATAATTAATTAAAACAGTTCTGTTGATCTGCACTCCATTGCTCTTCTTCAGTCACTGAGAAGGAAAAGCGAAATTGATTTGAAAACTGAATACGGAATTCAATTTCTACTTTTCATACAATCATTCAACCTGAGGAGATTAAATCCATATTATGTGTTTCAAGTTCAGCTTCTATCTCTGCTTGAGCTCATGTTCAAAGCAGTGATATGAGCAGAAAGAGTCCACGAGACCTTCACATCTCACTGAGAAGAAACGAACGGAGGCTCGCTGACTTCAACAGCTTTATTGTTTGCAGCCATTCAGACAGACACAAAGCCTTTCTGCCTCAGAGGAACTTTTCTCTCTCCTCAAACAAACCTTTAAATTCCTAAAAGCAACGATCTGAACTGAGCACAGCGCAGCTGTCTGCTTCTCAGAGCTGTTCTGTTCGTGGTTCTACTCGTCTGCCTCATGGGTTCCGTATCCGAGTCGGTCCGCCGAGGGGAAGTGGGCCCAGAAGGTTCTGGCCAGATCATTGATTTGGTCGTAGCCGGCGTGTTTCCTCAGCTCCTCCACCCAGCCGAAGAAGTCGGAGGAGGTCATCGCCCAGTTTGGCACCCCGCGTTTCTGCCGCCCCTCTGCAGCAGAAATAAAGCAGCAGGAAGGATCGGCACCACGTCTGAGAGGTTCTACTGTGCTATGAACTTGTCTTTCTTAGGAAATTCTTCAGAAAACCTTTTCCTAGAGTTTAACAGAAGCAATAAAATCCTCACAGATTTTGAATTCAGGTTGCATACGGAGGAGGAGGCACTTCACAGATCTTCTTCTCTCTCATCTCTCACAAGACTGAAGAACAATGTTGCATCGCACGCTACAGGATATGATTAAGGTTATGATGCCAGAGTGGAGGGAATCAGGGAGCAGAGCAACACTTGAGGAGATCTCATGGGGAAGCAGATGGAAATAAAGTGGAGACTGTGGAGCAACAGTTTGCTGTGACGCTAACAATCCTTTACAGGGAGATAAAAACAACAGAAGAAGACTGAAGCAGCCTGCGGGGGGGACATGGTTGGAGGGATGAGGTCAATGCAGGTTGTGAGAACAGATTTTAGCATCTGTAGCTAACGTCAGCCTCAAAGGCTAGGATGTTTGGCGTTGCTTGGCAACAGCATCTCCTGCTCTGGGTGGTGGTGATGTAATCATGAGCATCCTGACTCCATTAATATCAAACATGATGGATATTATTAAGGTGACACCAGTGAGTCTGTGAGCAGTGCAGGACCAGTCAGACTGGATCTGTAAACCCAACATCAGCTCAGATGATGACTCCCAGACCAGATCTCTCCTCTGATTGTGAGGAAGGCTGAAACTAGGACGATGCAGTTAGCTTCATTCGTCACTAAGGGGCGACGTAACATACAGCACTGAGCTCTCATTCTCTGTTTTGTAAAGCTGTGTTAGACATCTAAAAACCCACCTTTTTCCTATGTGTGACAGGGTGTCTGGACCATTCAACCGTGTCCCGATTTACAACTAATATATATAACCTGGTCACAAGCTGGACTACATTGTACTGCAGTGGCTACAGATACTAGAAAACACAGTTTCTATTTCAGTCTATTAGTAAATATGCACTAAAAATAAAGATTTCACTGCTTTTCCACCCATAAACCACATTAGACCAGGTTCAGATCTAAAACCACTACAGACTGGTTAAACCTAGACTAGACTGTCCCACTTTCACAAACACAGACTGTGCTTTGAAGCATCTTTCGCCCCTTGAGTCCAGACTGGACCAGTCTATATGTTCATATCTTGTTTACTGTCGTCCACATGTGGAGAAAAATAAGTTCAGGCTGAAATAGCTGCCTGCACTGTGTGTGTGTGGTTGCCTGGCTTTGTGTTGCATATTGTAGGGATGAGATCATCTGCAAAACTGCTGATAAAAGTTTGATCTGCTGACAGTTGAGTTGGAACTAAACTGTAAGTTGTTAGAAACAGTTGTTGGTTTGAACTGTCTCACCTGGGCCGAGTCCGTCCTCCTCTGCACCTGAAACACACCAACACAAACATCTAGAAATCAGTTTTTTAGGCGAAAAAAAAGACAAAACACCCTGAATAACACTTTACCTGCAAACCCAGAGAGGATGCTTGTGTTTTCTTTCTTCTTTACCTTCTCCTGCCTCTCTTGCATTTTAGTGTATTTCGTCTTTTCCTGTCTTTTCTTTTGTCTCTCATCCTTTTACTTTTCTTATCTTTCCATACCTTGTCTTGGTTTTGTCGCCTCCTAGAGGAGAAAGTAGACGCTGAGACCTCGTGCTGCTCTCAGACTCTCTGTGTTTTGGTGTTTTTTTTAAAAAAAAGCAGGTCACAGAAATCAGTTTGTTTTCACGCTCCCTCGTCACCTTCAGCAGGACCCATCGGAAACTGGCGTCCAGGTGAGAAACCTGACCACTGAGCTCAGCCTTCCTTCTGAGAGTTTCATATCAATCACTCTGCTGCTGAAGGAAACTAAACAGATCCACCTTCGTGTGTTCAGTCCTGAGTTTTGCTTTGTTGGTTTTTAGAGAGATTTTATTGTTCTTATAAGAAAGAAATATAAAAAACACAGACAGAGGTTGACTCCAATGTTTCATGAATGTCAAATTCTGTTGATTAGACTCTGAAATCCTGCCTTTACGCAGTTTGGTCGTTTAAAGAGATTGAGGTGTTTGAATGTAGTTCATCTGTTAGTCTTTGCTAGAAGCAGCTGAGAGTCTAAATGGGTTGAAAAGTAGACGGTTGCTTTATCCTACCTGCAGGAATCAGCAGCAGCATGAGGACATTCATCAGGATGAAGGCGCTCTGGAGACGCTTTGTCATGATCAAGCTGAAAACAAACAGTCAACAGGTGTTTCTCATATTTAGATCTGCTTTACCTTTAGAAAACTCAGCAATCAAACATGTGGAACTCCACTGAAGTTCAGGAGGAAAACGTAAAAAGCTGTTAAACCGAATAACGAATGTTCTAACTTCACTCATGCTCTCCTTTCTGAATCTTGCTCGTATCGTGTGGCGTCAGAGCAGCACTAAAGGTGTTACAGAGCTGGACTGAAAGTTTTCTAGAGTAAAAAAGTTGAGGCAGGACAAACACAGAGACAGCAGAGGCTCAGTCGGCACATTTACAATCAAGTCTTCCTGCACAAAAGCTCATTTTATGTCTCACCTGCGGACAACAAAGAGTAAACCATCCGCTTTCAGGCTTAGATTTGATCTTCAATCAGCTAAAAGTCCACTTTCATTTTCATAAATACCTCAACATGTCTTGAAGTTGTCCTACCTGGCTCTGGGTTTGGGCGACGCTCTGGTGAAGTCCAGCTCTGACTCTGCTCTGTTTGGAGATTTCAGTTTTCAGTCCACATACCAGAACCGACCTCTGACCCGCAGCTTTTCACAGCAGGACGCCTTCTGCTTCTCAAACAGCAGCAGGATTGTTCCAGTGACGACGGGCTCCAGTTCTCAACCTGGACTTTATTGACAACATCTGCGTGTACGTTTCGTACTTTAACTACACATCGAGTCAAATCTTATGTCAGACACAGAAAACAACAGCTACTGAACAGAGGTGCTTTATGGTTGGCGTTAGATAAAGATTAAATATAGAACCGGGCTCAGGGAGGGTAGTCGTCTGTCTCGAGTGGTCGGGGTGAGGTTAAAGGAGCGGGAGGAAGCTGAGGCAAACAAACAGCAAGCATGAGAATGTAAACGCAGGACAGGTTGGTGGAAACCACAGATCAGACTGGTGCAGGGAGAGAGAACAGAAAGAATAAAGAAAGGTACAGGAGAGAGAGGACAGAGCTACGAACATGTATGAACACATGACAAGACAAACACGTGAACAGGACAGACAACAGACATTGGTTAGGTCAAAAACAAGAGGTATAACAGAGTAAAAGAAAAAACTGAGTAAGTTCAGGCAACCAATCAATACAAAAATGGAGTGACAAAGAAAAACTAAGAGTGGACAAAAGCAATGTGGGAAAAAAAACGTAATTTTGATTTGAATTTTTAGTAAACATGATTTAATGTGGATGTCTGGATGCAAAAACCGAGAAAACGGCGCCACCTTTGGTTTAGATGAGTAACTGTGATGACGACCTAAGTGACCTGTGGGCAGAAAACCTCCACCATAGAGGGCTTAAAAAACAAATAGACATTTTAAGCTCAGCTTTGTGCTTCACTGACACCAGTACAAAGGAACTAGAAGTGAGGGATGTGCTGTCTTTGTTTGTACTTGGCAGCTACAACTGTTGTTGGGTAACGATGGTCTGGAATCACAACAGTCCATCCAAGACCTAATGCAGAGATAACAGGTTAGATTAGTCTCAATTTGGCGATTGTTCCGAGCTCACAAACACTGCCCCTCACAACACTGCTGACTTGCTTATTAAAATTCAAAAAGGAACCCCAGAAGACACCACCGTTTTTAACTTAATTGGGCTCTTTTTCAGAGAGAGGATCAGGCCCATTGTGAAGTTTATCAGCAGAGTTGGGTGGACAGTTACAGGACTTACTTGCCGTCTCAAGGCAGCTAAAGAGACTCGTCCCTGAACCAGAAGCTTTAACTGGGAGGTAAAGCAGTGTGTCATCAGCATAGCGGTGATTTGAGATTTAAAAATGTCGTCAAGAGACAATTAACTATAAGAGAATGGGGAGGATGAACTATTGGGCCTCTGGTGGTTCTGTCATTCGGGTAGGAGGCCAAGTGTTGTGCACTGCAGACCAACTTCACACTCCAGGGGCTTTAATCATGGTAACGGTATGAAATGCTGCAATGAGATCGAGCAGAACTGAAATGGCATGAGAACCAGAATTAACAGAGATGTTGTTTGTAGAGCAAACTCTGCACCACGAAGAGCTCTGAAACCAAACCTGAGTGGAAACTTTTTCCAACATGTTGGAGATGAATGGCAGCTTGGGGGTTGGTCTGTAGTTATGAACCATAGAGGCACCTGTTGGGAACATGTGAGACTTTTGGGAATTTGCTCGAGCTACTGAGGCACCATATGGGAGCCTGTAGGGTCGAAACATCCAGTAACGGAAATAGATAAAACAACCGAGATCTAAAATAAAGGTGTAAAGAGCATCATGTGAAATGTGGCTTAAAACTGGATAAAAGCATCAAATTATAACAGAGCTGCCGACTGACCCATAGTTACCATCCCATAATGATATCATACCTTAGTAAACAGCAGCTCTCTTGTTTTTTAGTAAACTCAGTTGACATTTTTGTATTCAAAGTCGAAGGCCTGGTAAAAGCAGAGCCGAACCACCACATCAGTCAGAGATGAGTGAATGATTAACATGAATCAGGTTTATTACCGCGTCATTACTTCACATGTCAACATGCTTAACTCGACAGAAGACTTCGGAGTCGCAGTTCTGAATCCCAAAACAAACAGCGGCTCCAGATAAGAGAGGACACATATTGACTCTCGATAAATTATTCAGAAGATAAATATTGACTCGCTTAATGTCCAAAACCATCACTGCGGGGTGTGCGCGAGGTGCAGCCGGTTCACTGATGTGGAGCCAAAAACGTGATCAGTGGAAACAGTGATCAGGCTGAGACGGTAGACACACACGCACACGCACACGCACACACACACACACACACACACACACAGACACACACAATCACACAGTGTCGGTTGTCAGTTTTTAAGGTACACTTTGCTGAAGCTCGTGCAGCGTCACCATCAGTCCTGCGATCAGCCCGTCCTTCATCAATGTTTCAGGTTAATTAATGTACTGTAGTGTTTCTCTTATTTACCTTTAACGACATAAAAGGAGTGGACAAAATAATAGAAACCACTGCCACAATTCAACTCAGCAGGACCACAAACTTGCCAGACAGTTTTTTCAAGACCTTTTCACCGTTTCTTATCGGATTTTTGTACTAGATTCAGGGTTTTTCCTGCATAGAGGAATGTTTTGTGCCTCTGAGAATTTTGTTTTTAAGTGTACAATTTAAACCAGTTTTGTTAATTTGGGTTTTATTTATCCAAGCATAATAGATTCAGATAGTCAGGATTAACAGGGAAGTGAACGCATTTAAATAAAGCCTATTCTGAGCCAGGAAAAACCCTGTTTTAGTCAAGTGTACCTCCCACACGGGGGTAAATTATGTAAAAGAAACAGTCAAGTTCCTGCAAACTGTGAGCACTGAGTTCATCATGATGCAGGAGCTTAATTGAGCATCGCTAACCTGGATGAAAGGCACCAAGTTATGATTAATCCTGATCATCATATTGACAGTGGTGGGAGAGGACTCACACACTGACCGGCAGCTGTCAGGAAAACACAGAAATGCACGCTAACATGAGAACAGTCTAATCCACAGAGGGATGTTTGTGACTTTTAGCTACTCAAATGTTGTCAGACAGTAGTTGCGAGTCGCTACCTTGAAGCCAAATAAGCTGCGGCCCATCCGAACAGGAAAAAACACTCCCACCTAATCCCCCCAACCACGGTGGTCAGACAAGATCAAGGTTAAATCTCACTTGTGTTTGTGACAAGGAGGGAATGTTAATGAAGCTTCACCCTCTGAACTCCTTCACAAACATGTTATCCTTAAAAAAATCACCAAAGTTACACAATTTGTCGTCGCTAGAAGCTGTAAAAACCAAAAGGATCAGCAGATATTTAACTTTGTTCTATCAGAAAACGTAAATCTAAGCCTGAAATCGCTTTACTCTACGTCTTGTTTTAAAATTCTGCATAAATAAACAAGACTATTGTGAGACGTCTCTCCTGCTAGCCATGTGTCCACACAGGACTTTATATTGCAGTGAAAAATGAACCCAAGAAAACGGGTTCAGAGGGTTTACTGAAATAAATAATGTAAACAAGCCATAGATGTGTGGAATACCGTCTTGTTTATGCTGCAGAGGTGTTGAACGGTGCAACAACAAAAAAAAAAAAAAAAAGTCATCTCATTTCTCCACTTTGAGTCTCCTCTGTTCTCCTGCCTGTGACCTGAAAATCAATTCCAGCCTTCCATCTTGAAGGATGCTTCAATTCCTGAAATGAATCTCAAGGAGAGGAGGAGGCTGCCGGAGGAGCTCAGAGGGAGGATGCTCAGGTGAGGTATTAAAAAAAAAAAAAGGCAACACACAGCTGGAATATACAAATCATGTTGGGAGGAGGACTGGCAAATGTGTGTGTACAGTCTATATAGCATTTAATCATATAATAATCTATCTCTCCTCATGTATGTGGTTGTTTTCTGTGTGTGGAAAATTGTCAGGAAAATAAAAAAGCCACAACAGGAGTTTAAAATAAAAGTAAACCTTCGCTGTAAGTTGTCGTGAACACTGTTTTATCTGATGTTAAACAAAAGCTGGACAGTGCAGCTGCCACATGTCTGTAAAGTGACGTCTCCTTTTGTTAGAGCCAGTTGGTTCTAAGCCTGGTTTACTTGTAATACATTAATCTTGATGAATGCTGCATGTCTGCGTTTAAGAATGTTTTTCTCAACTATCGACGTGCTAATTGCTCGAGGGTCTCCTGACTGGTTGTTGCAGCCTTTGGCTCCAGTATAACCATGTTGTTGCTGCTGCTTGATGCCGAACAAAGAGCTCAGTGCCGACAGTTTGCAAGAAATGAACTGAAAAAGCTTCCTTTGACCTTTAAACGGGTAAACATTCAAATATAGTGACACATGTTGCAGGAACCTCTGTTGGTCAGTAGATGGTGCAAGTTCTCAAAAATGGATTCTGAGGCGGCCAACTAACACCAAGTGAGCCAGTTCTGTCTATTTTTTCTCTGTCAGATTCATAGTGAAGCAGAGCTGGACTCTGGTCATAGTCTTTTGTGTGACTGGCTACCAAATCTGATGACTTCTACCCTCCAGGAGCTCACACTGCAGCTAAAACTGCCCACTCAAGGTTTCCACCGCAGCAGTCGAGATAAATATTGTAAATGGCACATCGCAGATCTCCGTGCCTCTCAGTGTGTGTGCTTTTATACCTGCTCCCATGCCAAATGGGCCTTATATTGATATATCCTGTGTGCAGTCATAAAAAGGTAAAACACCATCAATCCTCCGCTGCTACATCAGCTACATCAATCAGCTTGACCTGCTGCACTGCAACGTTTTAGAGCACAGCTGAGCAAAGGCCTCGAGGAACCATGGGAAAAATAAACCGCAGTGTTGTGACAGGACGATGAGGCGTAACTGAGGTATTGTACATCATGTACAAAAAAAAATCTGTTGCTTTTATGGAGCTATGGCCTCTCGGGGTCCATTTGTCTCCGGCACACTGCAGTCCGAGCTCGTCCCTGTCTACATCTGAGTCAACAACTCTTTAAAGTTGCTTAACTCCCTCTCAGTTCTCCACCTCTCTCTCCTCGTGTTTAAATATGGAGGCATGGAAGAGCAGACTACCCCATTCACTGTTAAAAGACAGATGAAGATATTATATGTACACCAAACTGTAAAACACTTAAAAGGTGACAGGAGTTCTATCCGCTGTCATCATCTGCCTCGTATCCTCAGTTCAAACCTTTGAAGAAGGACTGTACAGACTCCGATGCCTCCACCGGCACCTCGAGGACTGAATGTGATTGTCTGTGGAGAGACTGCAGGGAGAGTCTCTACAGTCCCTGTCCTGTCAGTCACTCAGTCGGCCCCCTTCCATCCCTCCCAAACCTCCTTCCTCTCCTCTGTGATCCATCACTCAAAGCGCTCGTAGTTCCTGGTTTGTCGGACCCGGGGGACCATGTCCAGCAGCAGCCTGCGGCACATCAAGAGGAGGCTTTTTTAGAACACAAAGAAAAACCCAAAGTTTTTCATCCGCTTGCGGTCCGATACTGCAGACACACATAAATTAATCTTAGCTTTTGGGTGTTGCTCAAGGCAAAAAAAATAAAAAATCTCCCTGCATCAGCGGAAACAACTGCAGACTAGAATTAAAGAGCTTCTCCTGAGAGAAAGCTTCATTCAAAAAAGTTGAACCATCTCCATTCCCTCCCACTGCTCTGTTCTGGTACGATACTGTTAGAAAGGTTCCTGCTTTTAAAATTTGTTCAATTTCATGGTTTAGGAGTTCACTGCTCATAAAGGTTTTTGGAAACAACGCTGAACTGAAGTGGATGTTTTTTTTTTTTTGTGACTAAGTCATTTCTGTTTTTATTACTTCAAAGTACAAAATACGAGCTGTATTTGATCTCTGTACCTCTGACGGTTCTCCACAAACTAAAAAATACAGCTGCTTTGATCCTCTAAACTCCTGAACTCACCAGCGGGTTTGAAGTCCATGCTACCTCTAGGAAATGCCAAAACAACAGCGTTTATTAGAGGATTTATCTGTTTTGTTAGAAAACTGTTAAATTTCCAGATCATATTTCACCAAAATCACTTTATTCGACAAGTCTAATTTACCATTTTTCCAAAGATAAACAATTTGCACCAGATTATGTCAAATAAAAATACACTCCTCAGTGCAACTATGAAGACATTAGTGTGACCAACAGTCATGTAAGTGGGACTTTCGGGTGAACTGCAGGCAGTGTTTCCACGGAGCAGAGAGGAGACGAGTATACCACTAATTAAAAATGGAAAAAGTAAAACATCTACAGTATGTAAGGTCTTGATTTTTTCAATATTAGTAACATGTTTACTTCTAGTCGTGGCTGTTTCTATGCAGGACTTTATATTGAGGTGAGAAATGAGCCCACAGTCGAGCCAGAATCACCCAGAAATCCCTTCAGGTTGAGAAGGACTAACATAGTGAGAGTTTTAAAATGGAACCTCCATCACCTCAATAGGCAGTAATTGGTTTTTATTCCATACATAACTCACAAAGTCATTAATTCCATGAAATCTTTCAGTTCTATGAGCCTCGGCTTGATGAATATTGACGACATCCATAAATAATGTGACTTCATCATTTTTTTTTTGGTCTCCCTCCTTTCAAAGACAAAATTTTCACAGTTCATAAATACTATCCAAATATATCCTAAAACCCTCTTCAAAACTACCCGAAGCGTTTGATGAACTACAAGTACTGCCAGTTATACCAGATGTAAATCTAACATGATCTTTGACCACGTCATCGTCACTTACTTGACTCCGTAGGCGAGGATGATCAGCCCTATGAGGACACCTATTGTTCCGTCCAGGTACCACACCTTGGGCTCATGCTTGAACACTTCAGCACTGATGAGGATGGAAAACCCCATGATCCCTCCCACCAGTGAGTTAAATCCTACAACGAGAAACAACCAATGCAGTCTTTTGAAACAGATCTAATATAAAGTCAGCTGATGTTTTGGGTTTTTTTTGGTCGAGGTTCAGAGTTCAGTCCTCAGAAAGCCGTTAAGAGTCCAGTGGACATGTGACACTGACTGCTGTGTTTTCTACAGACAGCAGCGGTGTGACACATGCTTGAAATGTCTCTGATGTCCGTCAGAAAGTGAAAGGTCATCTCATTACACCAAAAGGCAACTGACCAAGACCTTGTTCAGGTGACGAACCCAATGAACGTGATGTGAAGACAGAAGACTAATGCCAAAGTGTTTGTCTTGTAATACAAATAATATCAAGGAAATCTGTGTGCGTGAGCAGATGTGCACACCTACCATCAGTAATAAGAGCTCTGCTTGTGAGCACTTTGCCGAGCATGAACTTGATCACAGCCAAGATGATGCACACCAAGCCGCTGACGATGGACACGCTGAACAAGAAGTCATCCTAAGAGAGAGACGAAAGCACACAGAGACACTTGGAGTTATTGTCTGCACCATCTGCACCAACAGGTTTTCTTTTTACCATCAGTGGCGTCCCTCAGGGTTTAATCCTGGGTCCTCCCTTAGAGTAGTTGATCCACACAATTCAATTCAATTCAACTTTATTTAGCGCAAATTCAGAACGTGTGTCATCTCACAGTGCCCAATATAGTAAGGTACAGACCTGCCAAATGTTGAACAGATTTACCTTTGGATTCCCTATGAGCAAGTGGTCGGCAACGGTGGCAATGTTGGGACTCAGTTTGTTACTTTAATTATTACGACACAACAGGAGGTTTTAAAAGATGCTGCAAGAGTCTTGTGCATTTTTTTGCTCTGGGTATTGGCTCTAAGGCTATAAAGTGGCTGCTCTAATCTTTAAATTAGTGTAAAACATTGAAGCTACCCTATATGTTGGTGCACAGTTTATGATCTTATACAGCAATGATACACTTGAACACCAATCTTAACAAAGATGTAAATGCAACCTCAATATACTTCAATAAGTATCAAGCTTATGTCATTGAAACTACATGTGATTTAGGGTTTAGTTGAACTACCATTATTATGGAAAGCAGCAATCTCATCACCATGTGCTAGACAAACAGAGGTAGGGGGAAGTCTAAAATTTCCTTTATTCAAAAAATCCCATTAATGCTCCATTGAATTCAATTGAATTTCCCTTCTGGGATAAATAAAGTATTTTTCATTTCATTTCATTGTGTCCCCTCTTAAACTAAAATCTACACCATTTCTTTGAGGTTTTTATTTTGGTATATTCCATCTATTAGTCATCTACATTCTGTATTACTGTCCACAAACCCACAGCAACTTCCCAAGACAGCTGCATCCCCACAGCAGGTCATTCAGAGAAGACCTCTTTTAGCACTAGACCACATACAATCGTCTCCACCCAATTACGACGGTTTGTGCACCTTAACGATGAATCAACCTGCTTACAACCATTATCCCCCTAAATGAATCACTTCCCTTCTCAACCATATGTTTGAATTATACACTAAATATATCCTCCTTTGCTCCCCACAGCTCTTATTTAATTGCTTTTCCTGACAATTTTTCTTGATCAGTTTGGGTTCATAAATTATCTGCCCCTTCATGATGTGTACTTTTGATTGAAAAAGAGTCTGAAGATGACATTGTTACCGCGTCCACTGTGAGTCTCACTGCAAAGGGTGTCAGCTAAATGCCTAAAATGTAAATGCACAAAGGACGGATGGAGGAGGAGAGATGGATGAGAAGAGGAGAAGAGTAAGGGAGCTGCAGAGCACTCAGTGCCTCTGCGGCAGCATTAATATTGCACTATGGCCTTGGAGCCATGAAAACCTACTTTGGCAAGCTCGCAGACATCAAAGAGGAGATGGAGAGAAAACCTCAGCACGCTGCACAGACCTGAGTCAGTGCTGTGACTCAGTTGTGAATATAAAATCTGAATTGCACATTGTCTTTAAAGTACTGGACACCTTCAGCAACACAGATATTCTGCTTCAGCAAAAACATACAGACATACATTTCAAATGGGATCTATTTATACATTTTAAGGTTCAAGTCTGTAGATAAGAAAGGTCAACAGATACAGGAGTGGTCCCATGCGGTGTTCCACAGGGATCGACCCTAGGACCACTGAAACTTCAACTCAAACGTTCTCTCAAGTGCATTTGTTTTTGTTCTGTAAATGTTTAAATAAAAAAGAACCTTTCAACATTTATCCTTTAGTTTAGAGCGGCTTTTACTCGTGACACGTAGCCAATCAGATAGAGCTGTGGGCAGGTCGTCGCTCCAAAACACAGTGTGACTAAAGACAGAGAGAGGCAAAGTAGCACATTTTAAAAATAAAATAGTTTTACCAGGATTCATTAAAAAAAATTGCAATAAATCAGAAAAAAATTAAAAATGCTGATTAACGGATCAGATAATAATTCAATCCCTAATTTACATGATCTCAAGAAAAGAGCTTTCCTTGAGAAAATGTTTTTTAATGTGAGACGATGCCTAATACCGCTCATTAAGAAGGATTTTCTAAAGTTAATCTCTAATTTATAATGAGCCTTCGATCAGAAAAACAACAAAAAAACGTGGTCGCGGATTATAAAAAAAGGAATAAGTTGTTGATAGATTAATGATTAGAATTAACGAGCACATATAAATATTAAAACATGTTATAATTATTTTCTGGTAACATTTTTAGCAGCAGATCATGTCCATACAGCCAGGCAGCGGATGATGAAGTGTTTGAGCATCAGGTGAGACCAGCACAGACGGAACATTCGTCCAAATAATCAATATGGTTCTTTTTCAGGGTGCATGAGCAAAAATGTCAAAGCTTATCAGATCACGTGACCATAGTCAGAATCTATTTGGTCTTGAAGGAAATGATTTGAGAAAAGATTGATGAATGTATTTAGTATTTTCGTAAAATTGTACCGCTTGTATGAAGAGGAACATCTACAGTAGTTAAATGTCCAAGCTTTCCTCTGCATGCCGAGCACAGCCGAGGCCGAGCAGTCACAGGAGAGCACAGCACAGATCACGGTTATTTAGTTATTTTGGAATGTTGTGCTTCCAGTCAGCTGAAATGACGGACGGCAGACTGTGACTCTCTGTTATCACGGGAAATCCCCCAGCGACCTTCTAATCAAGATTCAAAGTATGTGGGCTGCCATTTTGACCCGAGGTAGAGGAAAACACACACACAGAATGAGAGATAGAGCTCATGACAAACAGAGCCTGCCCGGAATATGAATGCAGCGTTTGACATTTCCTTCTGACAGCCAGAGATCCCTGAGCAACACCAGCCAACCGGCACCTCTCAGTCCACCGTGTAGCTCCTTGTAAATCCACAGTCTGCACTTTGTCCACATTTTGATTTTGGCACAGATTAAACAAACAAGTGAGAACCTGGTAATTAGTTCGGAAAAGTTTCGGCTTGACATGATGAAAGAAGTTGATTTTCACTGGGTGACATCATCTCGCGGCGCTGATTATTCTCACTTGTTTTGGGAAAAATAACATCTAAGCTGACAACTGATTCAGGGACTAAAATCTGTTGATGATCGTGTATTAAATGGAATATCATTAGCACAGAGAGGATGTGAGAATTTTTTTTTTCAACTCTCAGAGGTCACTGCAGCCCTTAAAATTAATTTCAAATATGAAAAGCCCTGTTGGGAACGAACAGGTTTTCACAAAATGCCTGCGTGAAGAGAAGAGTTTTGCTGTGGATGCTAACTGACATTAATTGGCCACAGAGGACTAGCAGAGCAGGAACAGTCAGGTGTCAAACCAAACATCCTCCTCCACATGTTTCCTCCTCGCCTCCCCCTCCCCGTCCCCGTCCAACCGCTGCATACCTAAGCAGCTGCTTACCTCATTAACATTTTATAAAGAAGATGAAGACAGTGGAGGAGGCGGTGAAAATAAAACCTTACTTCCAACACTGGAAACAACGAAGGCTGGGAGGGATGCACGAGCTATATATAACTCCAACATCCACCAGCAGCAGCCAGTCTGGTAGAACCCGAGTGTGTGACAGAAGAAGAGCAGGTCGACTCAGAACAACACAATCTGTCTGCCTCGCCGCTCCCACATTCTGCCTTTGTTTATGCTTTGGCGCTCGCTGTGTGTCAGGGCCGTCTCGCTGCTCCCCGGCTGCAGCCGCAGATGAATAGAAGGAAAACACAGTTGGTCCAATAAATCGATCGAGGATTTTTAAAAAAACTAATTGAATTTTGAGCCTAAGTGAGTTACAAAGACTATGTGAGAGTTAGGGATGTGCATTTATTATCATTCTGCAACCGATCCAAGAGCATAAAGATACGATTATAGTGTTTCTAGCTATGTTGATGAGTTTAGGTTTTCATGCTCTATGTGCCACAATGAACAACAATACTACAATGAAAGTAATACTACCAACACAAACATCAGATTAATGTCCATAGTATCACAGCCACGCCACTATCCCGCCGCCTCGCCTGTTTAGCAGCTCAGTGACGATTCACCGACATCTATCTTGACACAGCATCACACTGAATACTATATGTGTTTACTGAATCCAGTCGCAGCCATAAAACTTTGTGATTTTAACAATGCATTATGGGTTACTTATAAATCAAACTAACCCTTGTAAACATTGGTGGGGGGACTTGTGTTTCAGAATAATTTGTTTTCATGAAGTTTGGAGAGAGATGCTGATAACTTTCACTTGTTTCACACGGCATTAGCATAAACTGTTGTGTTATTTTTGTCACATTTAATTCAAAATTGTTGGGTAACACCTTGGTTAAAGTAAAATAACTCGACCAAGGGTTTGTTTTTTCAGATATTTTCAGATGAATGCATGCTGACATGTACTTTTCTGGTGTAGTTTTACTCATGGTATGCTGTTATGTAAGCTATTTAACAAATACCAGCTTTGGGTTTGTAGATACGGCTCAACCTTTAAAGCATGTAAGCATACGTTTGAGACTGAAACAGATAACAGCGATTCTCCAAACTGCACCAAAGCAGGAAGAGGCAATAAGGGGCCGGAGCACCAGCACTCTCCCAACAGCAATAAAGCTCATGAAAATATAATGTTCCCGTATTTACTCCTCCTCATCATCATCATCGTCCTCTACGGCGTTTCTACGGTGATGACTATCGCCTGGCAACCGGGTGGTAAAGCTATTTGCGGAAGTGTGAAAGCTCCTGAGTCTTCGCACCTGAAATTTGTGACATTCTTCATCCGGCAACAACGCAGCTACGCCTCCGTCACGCACATTCTCACACAGACACACAGACTGGTAACGGAAAGAAGAAATAATCCCCTGATCCGACGTTGAGTCTGGAAAAGTCAGAGGTTAGTAACTCACACTATCTGGACACGTTTTATGAAGTTTAAGTGAAAAACTATCGTCTGACTTGTTAGCACAGCCACTTTGATCTGACTCTTCACAGATGTAGATGTCAGAAGCAGAAATGTTCCCTGTGTTTAGTAAACACAGCAACAAAACCTACAGTTACAAGGCTCTTGATCAAATATTAAAGGCCCTGAAATGTATTTTTTAGTCAGTGTCTTACTCTGAAAGACAGGCTTCAACCTACAGGATTAAGAACACAATGTTTAACTGTGTACAACAGGTTTTATATTTTTTAGTTTCTCCTTTCTCTGGTTCAGCTGGAAACATGTGGCTTCATGTTCAGTACCTCTGCTTATAAATCAGAACTGAGTAAGATTTATGGTCTGGTCAGTCACAGAACTTCTGATGAAAACGAAATAATTAAAAGCCAATTATTCACGTAGCAATCTTGCAGTGGGAGAACAAACTTTTCTCCTGTCTGTCTGATGCCAATGCTGGTTTGATTTAGTTTGTTTAAAAAGTTTTATACAATCAAATATCGATTTGGCATCGTCGCCTCGCAGCTAGAAGGTTGCCGGTTCGCGTCCCGGTGAGGACACCCGGGATCTTTCTGCGTGGAGTCTCCATGTTCTCCCTGTGCAGCGTGGGTTCTCTCCGGGTTCTCCGGCTTCCTCCCACAGTCCAGAAACATGTTGAGGTTAACTGGTGATTCTAAATTGTCTGTAATGTGAGTGTGCTTGGTTGTCTGTCTCTAAGTGTAGGCCTGTGACAGACTGGTTACCTGTCCAGCTGGGACAGAATCCAGCCCCCTGCGACCCGAGTGAGGATTAAGCGGTGTATAGATAATGGACGGATGGATATTGATTATGGTTCAACAGTAGGTCAAAACAACACGACAGCTGATGACTCCATGAGAGCAGAGCTGCAACTTTGCCTCCTGTGATGTCTTCTTTGTGCTGAACCCACAGCATCCAGCAGAAGAGTATTAAGGCTGATAAAGTATGCAGAAACATTTTAGATTAACTTCTGACAGAGAGAATCCCAGAGCCAGAACCTCCTCAGCCTCAGCCTGAGCTGCCAACACTCCAGAACCACTTGATGACCAAAGCTGAAAATATGGGTCCGATCAGATGCTCAAATCAACAAGATCAGCCACGGTACACCACATGTATAACTGTAAGAGCTGCCTGCATGTTGTTTGTCTTGGACGCTAACAGGCACAGTCCAGATCTGACAGATATTATTAGATGCAGGCACAAAGTCAACAAGGATTATTTATTTTAGATTCTGAATGAACATTTGTCTTTGGCAGTCTGCTGGTACCGCAGCGGGGGGATCAGTCCAGCCCTGGTTGGCTAAAGTGGTTGTTCCTATCTGGCAAAACTTTAAAGACAACCACAAAGATGGTTAAGTTTTAAGTGTTTGTTGGTGCGTGATGAAAGGATCGTGAGCAGGATTTTCTCATTTCTCTTCCAAACTGCACATAAAACTTTCTGGAGTCCAAGAACGTGGTGTTTGGTGCGCGTTCGTTTCTCACCACTTCAGGCAGCAGCTTGGTGGCCAAGTCGTGGATGGCTTTACCCAGAATGCACAGGGAGGACAGGATGAAAATCACACCCAGGATAACACAGGCTCTGCAGTGGAGGAGGAGGAGAGAAGACACATGAACAACAGCAGAAACACAGATTACGGCGGCAGACAGGATGAGAGCGCCCTCCTGCATCTTCACATCGACACAGAGCTGATCCTGATGCAACAGTCGACCCGACGCTGAAAGGCCACATCAATAATGAAAGCGGCGTAAGATGGGACCTGCAGGGCCTGAACCAGGATCTCAGAGACACTGAGGTGGTTAGTTTAAATTCCACAAAACCACCTGAAAAGGGGTTCTGTTAAAAGACACCACTGAGTTGGCTTCGGCGCTACTGGAGCTATACAGATGAAAACTTTGTGTCGAGCAGATAACTTTTAATTATAACCGTCCTCTCCTGTGCTTTACAAATTCGCAATACTATAAATTGCTGGAGAAATATTGTTACAGCGTGATGGAAACGGCTCCTGATGTGATTAAATCCTCTCCGGTTAGTAGAGATCCTCGTTAACAAGTCAGCGGGTTCTCGCATGTAGAGCAGCGCCGAGTCTCTCAGACATAAGCAGGAACCCGTGGACACCTAGTTGCTAATATACTTGGTTTCTAGTCCACATGAAGGAATCTCATCTGGATTTCTTACACATACACGCTACTACCCTGCAGCAAAGTTGCAGTGTGGACTTTGCACACTGACACAAATTTTGTAGAAAGTATAACATCAGTCGTTGTTGTTGCTGCTTTTTAGTCCACGTGATGTAAATTTTGTCGTCTCTCCAAGTCAGCGAGAGTCCACGCAGACCCACCCGCAGCCTTGATCGCCCTCCCTTGTGTGTTTGATGATTGATGTGCAGCTGCGAACACACGGATGCGTCGCTGTGCTACTTTCTAATCTGCTTGAATCTGACGGGAGGACTCAGCTGTATACATCAGCAACTACATATCCCACATATGCACACTACTGCTGAGCATGTAGCGCCTTTCTAGTCACGTCTACGTCTGAACAGAGGTGCGTGCAAATTCTCACAGACTTAAGCAGATGATGTAATTAATCTGATGCCATGCAGACCCTGAGGGACTCCTGCATACTTAGACTGACTTTATTAATGCCCAGAGGGAAATTCAGGTCTTCCAGCAGCATGACTATAGGGTAGGGTATAAATGAAGGTAAAATAAAATACTTGTGGATGCAGAAGGTGTAACGCTGGTATAATATCAATAACTATGATGGTGTACCCAGCTGTCTGCATCTGCAAGGGGCTTAAATCAAGAAATGTCATCCCAAATAGATAAACTTTCCTGTGACAATACATGATCCTGAATGACTGATAGCATTCATCTAGTGTTGTATGGAGCGGACATGCTCTGTGTGGATTCATATGGAAGCAACAGATGCCTTTTTAGCACCTTCACCCAATTAACAAAGTCCAGAGGGACACGAGAACCGACCGGAGCATATGCCCCGGTCATGCATGGCTACCAGTGTGCATGTGCTCAAGACTGAGGGCTGCTCTCGACCATCGCTCGGTGCCCTGGGTTTTTGACCAGATGAAGTAACCAAGGCAACACCCAGCATCTCTGTGGGAAGTCCACAGCAGGACACACACACACACACACACACACACACACACAGACATGGGGGAGCTCTGTAAACCCGCTAACAGGCCCCCTGCTGTTTCCTGCACACTGGATGCAAACATGACACCATGTCCGTGCTGCTGTTCTTCCACAACAAAGCAACAAAAAGTCACTGAAGCCTTTCAGAAGCCAACGTACAGATTCAGTTTTAATGCATCCACATCTAAAGCGGATGACATCACTTTTTAATTCCAACGCCGGCGTGGCAACTGCATCTAACCTCGGGGAAGTGAAAGAGAGGGCGCTTGTTTAAAAAAAAAGAAAAGAAAAGAAAAGGGCTCCGTGTTTCATTTAGAAACAGAACTCCCTAATTCGTCTTGTTTTGACACCTCTGGCTTGTTACCTTGGCAACCAGTCAGGACTTGGGCATCACTATTCAACCGCATCTCCTCTATCAAACACAGACAGATCAAAAAATTAAGAAGAATAGCATGAATCCTCTTGTTGTGCATCAGTGTGTTCTCGCTCGGTCTGCTGAGAGCTGCCGGCTGTCTACAAACAAGCAAACACACCAAGAGAAACACAGAAACACAGCTCCGTGTTAGGTGATATACGGTTTGTGTACATATGGGAATACATATAGCACATGTCTATTAAAGTGCTGCTGGACCCATGCGTGGGTGGTGGTTCCTGCCGTTCTGTGTGTTTCACAGCATCGCTGCATAAATATATCAGCGTGTTCACGGCTGAGCGGCTGTTTGTGTGATCCAGGAGGAAGCCTGGCCTCTTGGTGAAGCCAATTACTGGCTGAGCAGCTTCCTGAACTCGGTCCAAATTCTCCAATTAGCAGCTGGAATGACATAATGAACACTGCTGTCAAGTGGATTTGTGTGGATGCTTTAATGAGAGGATTTAGCTCCGTGTCAAACATCTCAGAAGGAAGATTTCTATCAGATTGGTGCTTAACCTCAAAGATCTGTGATGGCAGGTTTGTCCGTTTGATCCCACAGTATCTGCACTGAAATGATTTCTCTGATAAATAGTATAACTCTTTCTGGTACACTAGCGAAGGCTGAAACGTAATAACTGAACAGGTGATGGTGTAATGTCCTTGAGGTGGAAATCTATTTTGAATCTTGAATTAATGTACAGCATTTAAGAAATAAAGTATATTTTGTTTTGTTTACATAAGTACTAAATGCAAAGTTGTTGACTGACTGAGCTTTAACTTTCAGAAATTTTGAAGGATACACAATTAAAAATACAATGCTAACTAAATTGTGGTGAAAAATAGCATAATTATGAATCATTTTGTCTGTCTTAAAAACTTGAAGCTGTAAAATAAAAGCTGTGAGAACATGAAGGTGCTCATTATTACCATTTCTGTCGCCCCTTTGGCCGCATGCCCACGAGTCAGAGCTCTGTGGTAAAGCTGAGGGACATTCAGAGATGATGGACCAAGCTGAACCCAATAAACCAGGACTGAGAGGGTCACTGTGGTGCTTGTTGTGCTTCAATTCAAACTAAACTCCGCCACTGTTCACACCTGTTATTTATCTCCTGCTCTCTGTGCTCACAGGTTGTGGATTTTAATACATAACAGTCAAATATCCAATAAATCTGTTCTCATTTACATGTTTTTCGGTTTCTACTGTCAGAAAACAGAAGGAGCATGAAATAGTGACTGAAACGCAGCCTTCTTCCTGAAGCTCAGGTGTGTTTAAAGCTACAGACACTGAAACAGCCCGTTATGAGCTGAGTTACACAGTCATGGTGAAATAAACCATCTTTGTGGGATTTCAAACTAAAATATTAAAGAACACATTCGGTGGACATCATTTTTATGTCATATTACCACAGTAGTTATTTTTTTTAGTTTTTATTATTATTATTGTTATTATTATTATTATTATTATTATATTGTTTTTTATTTTTTGTATTTATATTTATTTTAAAATATTCTTTTACATTTTTTAAAATTTATTTTAATTTTTTTGAAGTAATCTTTGCTTTTTATATTTTTACTATTTTTTATATATAGACATTTTAAATACATTTTTATTTTTTTAAGAATTTAAAATTTTTAAAATAATTTTTACTTTTTAAATACATATATTTTTTAAAATTATTTTTAGATATAGATATTCTTAAGTATATTTTTATTTTCTTTATATATATTTTTCTTTCTTTCTTTCTTTTTTAAAGTTATTTTTTTGGCCTTTGTGCCTTTATTTTGATAGATCAGTGAGAGAGAGACAGGAAGGTGGGGGAGAAGAGTAGGGGGAGGACGTGTGGGAAAGGGTCATGAGCGGGATTTGAACCCATGACCTCCACATTGGGACTGTAGCCCTGTACATGGGACACCAGCTCAACCAGGTGAGCTATAGCGGCGCCCCGATATATTTTTATTTTTTATCCAAAAAAATGCACATCAAACAAGAGTTCAGGTCTTAAGAGGTTAATCTTAATTCTAACTAGTATGTTAGTATTTTAGGGTTAGAGTTTTACGGTCAAACATCAGGTCCAGGTGGTCATATGTTGGATGCATCTACTCTCTTCATATGACGGGAAGTCGGCCATCTAACTGGTGTTTTGTTTGCAGCACGTCAGATGTTTGCCAGTTGAATTAATATCGTTCTCCATGTGTGTTACTGTCTCGTCTCCAGAGGACATGATCTCATCTGTCGTCTCTGCTGCAATTAGCAGTTGCTCCTCGGAGACCAGGACTCGTCTCCACTGCTGAGTGTGTGTTGGAACTGACAGATTCACCGCACGAATCCAGCAGATGCTCCGACAGCAAAGACGGAGACGGTGAAGATCCTTCCTTCATCTGATTCATTCGGTGACAGATGCTTTTGTTTTGCTTGAATTTTACCGTTAGACGTGTTGATCAGCTGGTTGTTTTAAGTGTTTCTCACCTAAAACAGAGTAAAGCAGAAATAAAGTGACGACACTCTGTTTCCGTCTCTTCTCTCTCTCTCTCGGTGACCTGCTGGCTGTCTGATCATCCACCGGGCTCTGAAAATCCGACCCCTCCACACACATACACGCTATTTTCAGCCAGGTGGAGATAAGAAGTGAGGCTCTCGGCTGCAATCGGTCCCAGCGGGCCGAGGCTGCCGGCGCTGAAGAGACCTGCTGTCTGACACGCTGCTCTCTGGACAAAGCCGACCACACACTCGGGCGCATTAGACACTGAAGTGGATTTCATCACATTTCTGGGTTCACGGGTGGAATTGAACCTTGTGGGAAAGATGAAACAAAGCCTCAAACAGCTGCAGTGCTCTTGTAATGTGAACTAAGAATAGAAAACGCAGAAACAGAGCTGTCAAGCCTGAACGCTGATAGAAAAAAACAACAATATGGACGGGCCGTATAAATAGAACACGAGTCGATTAAGTTTTCTGATAACTTGCAGGACTATTTTTGGATTTACTACATGTTTGACGACGCTCTCGGTTTGTGGTGATCGTTTCTTCGCTCCTTTGTCCTTAAACACCTTTAGGTGGCTGCTTTTTATTTGTCTACAGTTAAATGCAAATGACTTCTCTTGGAAAAGACCTGCTGCTGTTCAGAATACCAAATGGGAAAGTCTAAGCTTTATTTGTTCCAGCCATCGTGCTATTACCTGTTTAGCATATCATTTCAGCACTTTTATTGCCTGAAAAATCTTCATTTAAAACCCTTGCAGGCATTTCAAACGCACGCAGACTCCCAACTGAGGGTAATTTCCATGATGATGATATTGAACCAGTTTGAACAGGTGAAGGCGGTGGAGGTGGAGGTACTCACATGTATTCGCGGTGTGCCGAGTGGACAGCGGCGGCGTTGCTGTACCGCCACAACACGATGACCGAGGACAACACATCCAGCGTGGCATCAAACTGCGGAGCGAAAACAAACACATTTCATGCCCTCTTCACACCGACGTATGCCGTTAGCTCGTTAGTTGAAGTGTTGAACGCTGGACTTACAGCAAATCCAAAAGCTGAAGCACTGTGGCGCATAATGGAAACAGCTGGAAAGAAAACAGAGAGAGACTTTGTGTTATCGATGTAACACATTTGCCTAATGAGCTTAATTAACAGCCACATATAAAAAAAAAAAAAGAACTGTTTGCCAGAAACCAGATCCAATTAGACGCTTGCAGCTGCACACAATCAGTTAAATCAGTCCTTCAGCATTCACGTTTGTTGTCTTGCCACATATCAGACACTGTCCCTAAACGACTCATCTGTGACTGTTCAGCCTGAAAACGGAACCAAATCTCAACAAAAAGTCACGACAGTTCATCTAAATCAAATTAAACCGATTAAACTCTGCACTCCGGTTCGTGACTCAGCTGTGACCAAAAGCCATGTGATGAAAATTAAAGGCTTCTGTGTCTGATCTAGGATGAACTGCAGGCTGTGTTTGTACAGAGCAGGTAAGGAAACACATTTATTTGTAAGTAAAGCCGGCATTTTGTCAGCATCGGTCACACCTGTGGGAACTAGAAATAAATGTTGAACACAGGATCTTGTAAATAATCAAGAAAATTCAATTTATGGCATTATAACTCTCATGTTTATATGAGTTTGGGTTCTCTTTACTTCTAGACATGGCTGTGCTGTTTCCATAGAGGTAAAACATCTAGAAGCTGCTTCGGGTTAAAGTCCACAGATAACAGATGGTTCCTGCAGTCCAGGACGCTGACTGGATCTCCTCCGGTTTAACTGCAGTGACCATCAAATTGATCCTTTTTGTCAGCTCCTGATGAAACAACCGGGGTCACGTTGTTACCTGCATGTTACGATAGCACAATGATAGTAAGACGTAGATCTGTAGAAAGCAAACGTGCGGACACCTGCAATGGGTGGGAACGAGGAGGGAAGGAAGAAGAGACGGAGATGCAGGAGGGGAGGAATCCCTCCTCCCCAGTTTATTTTTAGCAGGACTCACGGGGGGCCAGCAGCTCGCCTCAGCCCTGCATACAGAATCACAGGGCTGTGTGGCGTCTCTTTCCCCCCTTTAGCTGCTCATTTTGTTTCTGCTTCAGCAGTAGTAAAATCAGTTCTTTCTCCGCTCTCCTCTCCTTCCTGTACACTCTTATTGCTTCCCCCTCCAGCACCCCCAGGCTCCCATCTCCTCCACCCGTTCCTTTCCTCCCTTATTGCTTCATCTACATTCAGTTGCTCTCTCTGGGCTGAAGGCACAATCATCCACTCCCCTGTCATGGCCCACACCGCCACGGAAACACAAGCAGATGCTGCTTTCACATTCTCTCAGAAACAATTGAATATCCGTGAATAACTGTTGAATACAAATAAGTGGGTGTTCTTGTTTTCTTACTTGAAATCTGCAGGGATGCAGAATGAATGTGGTACCGTCAGCTCATCGCAAAAATAAATCTGAATGCAGTATTTGTCTTCTAATGGCTTAAAAGCTTAACGCCACAAAAAAACAATATTTAAAACAGCCTTGCAAGGGGAGACACAAAAGGTGAACAGGATGTGTTTCTTAACTAAACTTCTCCTGGAGATTAGAAGCAACAAGGCTTCGGTTTTTGTATTAAAGGTGTTTTAAAATGTATGTTTATGCGTCCAAAGCATGTACCATTTATGTAAAAATTCAAAAGCCAGCTTCAAATGTTTGGTTGGAGAAAAAGGTGAATACAGAGGTGATTTGAGATGTTTTATTTAAAATAAATTAAATCCCACTGTGAATGATAAATAAACAAACCACTGTGTAAAAACCTTCAGACCATAGATATGAATAAAACTGGGAGGTTTAATGTATGTAAGAGCTGCTGAAGCGAAGATTTCTGGCTCAGAGCGGGAAGAAAACAACGATTTCTACAGAATAAATTAGAATTTTATGCTCTGTAATAGAAATCTAGAGACACAAATAGGCAAAGAATAGTAAAATTAAAAACCTAAATGTCTGTTTGGATGTTTTCTCTTTTCATTAATCTGAAAAAAAAAAAAGTCGTGTTATGGAAGCAGTGAAGTTTTGCTAATGTGTTCATTTTAGTGAATTGATTAAACGACATCGAGGTACGAAGGCCTCGTTTACAATGTGAGAGAATGAAAGATGTCGGCACACAAATTAAAACAGATAACAATAAAATATGAAAATGCATCCTCATTAAAGCCTGCAGATAAAGTGATCTGCTCTGTCATATCGTCCCTCATTTCTATTTTATGTAAAGCTGGTTTGTCAAGTCTGTTATCGTCTCAGCGGCTCTCACAGCTTAACTGTCATCACTTAGTCCACATATACTGAACATCCTATGGTGCATACTCTCTAAATGACATTCTTTAAACATGCAGGGTGGAGATGTTCTCCTGTCAGCGACACACGATCCAGCAAATAGAAGCTGACAGCTGCAGAAATGAGAGTAAATAAAGAGGGAAGGACTGAGAAGACGCTGAGGTGACATGCATGTGACATAACAAGGAAAAAGGAGCAGTGAAGCCCGGCTTTTCTAACGAGCACAGGATGGTGAGCATGTATGTGAAGCACGATAAAACAAAAGGCAGAGCTATTGAACGTAACAGTAGCTTTGTTCTCCAACACACTCCTCCACCCAGAACCATTTGCTCCATCGTCAGGGGAGCAGATTTGTGTTTAAAAGCAAAACACTGAACCTACAGGATGTATTCCACAAAGGCAATTCTTCAGGTGCCTGGAAAAACTTCAAGTTTGCTTTTACGCTGTCTGGTACAATTTTTCAGTTTTTAGAGATCTCACGTGGGATAGAGACCCCGTAACGCCACCCTGAAGTCTGTGTCTCCTCCTCCCTTCCTCCCCTCCTTCCTCTCCTCCTCGCTCCTTCATTAGGAGCAGAAAGAAGAAATTGCGTATAAATGAATCTGCTGCAGCTCTGCGGTCGTCAAAGCTGAGCCCAGCGACGGCTAATTGGTTCCCCAGAAAGCAGGGTGGGTGTCAGCGGGGATGGAGCTCCGGCATCGCGCACACAATCGCAGCATCACACGAAGGTCTCTGGTCTCCCTCCTCCTTCCTCCTCGTCACATGTGACAAGAGAAGCAGGAGAACGGGAGATAAAAGAGCATCGAGCTCTGCCGCTTCATCGGCTGTTTTTCTGCAGCTGCAGTATGCATATGAGGGAAACACTGTCAGGGTTGTTTTTACAGAAGATATGTGGAAACGTGTACGGCTCGGTGTGAGAACAGCAGCGAGGGGCGACGTTACATCTTCATTCATTCAGCTCGGTTCCACTGGACAACAGATGGAGATGAAGTTCTGACAGCTCTACTAGTTGTCAGAAAGTCAGACAAAACTGATTTTCACACTCTTAAGATCTGAATCAAACGATAAAACAGATCTTTGTGACACGGTATAAAATATCTACTTGTGTTTTTATACTATTCCAAAACTTTCTTGTGTCTTTTTGTCCTCTTCTCGCTCTTTTCATTAGTGGCTTCTGTGCAGCGGTTCCACCGTGAAGGCCTGCTTCACACAGCGACTCGATGCTGAGATGTGTCAGCCACTTGAACCCTGATGTGGGTTCCAGCTGCTGCTTCCTGGTCACTGGGAACTTTAACGTAGCAGACAGAACTCTTGGTCCTTCTTTCCTCATCAGAACCTCTTTCATGATGGGTTTGATGTTGTTTGTTGTGACTGGACTTAGAGAAAGTTCACGTCATACAGTGATGATTCCTCTTGTGATGAGGACTACTATTTGAATTGGGTTATTTACCACCTTGATGGTCTTAAATGGGTTAAGAAGACAAGATACTCCACCAGGTAGCTACTGACAAGCTCACCTGTGAACTGGAAACCATTCCAGGAAAAGCTGGTTAACATATCGCCAGTTGTGTCATCAAGGCAAACAGTAGAAACTGTGAGGGATTTAATATAGGAAACATTTTTGGTTTAACACTTTTTGTTCACTGTATAATCGATTTGATGCCTTTAGTGTTGTACAGTGTAACAAGAACTTAGTTAAATGAATTAATAAGATAATAAATGAAGACGTAGACACGACCTGTTTACTCTAATTCTATTCTAATGTCTTTCTATCCTGGTGTGTCCTATTCCTGGTGTAACAGCTAACATGTGGACGTGCATGGAGTATGTTATCATTGTGAGAGACTGCGTTATTGCTATGAAACTACATCACTCTAGTGTTTGATATGACCTGACCTCCTGGCCTTCATGTGTGTAATCAAGGCCCAGATTATTGACGAGGTGAATCCATCT